AATATGAAGGGAAGGGAAGGGAAGGAATCCTCTCTCTCAAGTAGAGCAGTATTTTCAGTAGAAATTTTCTTTCTAGTTCAGAACATAATCCTCCCCCTTCTTTGGGGTGTTTTAGTTTTAAAATACCACTGAGACTTTGAGAACATAGGGACAGACACACTGGGGGAATAAATTATTTAAGGAATAAATTTCTGCCTTTTCAGAAATCTCTAACAACTGGACACAAGTTTCATCAAGACATCACAGATGCTGATTTTGACAAAATGAGTTCTAAAATAACTTTTTGTTAAAATTCTGAGTTTTCCAACCTGCTACTGAGTTGGTATTGAGAATTTTATACAATGTGTAACAGCTGTTGGATTTTTTTTATTTTTTTTTTTCCAGAAAACCCCTCTATGTGCATCATAATATTTTTTCAACCAGTACTTTTGGACAGCAAATAAAAAGAATTGATGAGGAGTGATCCAAATCACAGAGAACTTGGTATTACATGAATCTGACATGCAGATTTGTGTGTGAAGATGAAGCAGTACCACTCAGAACAGGACAGGAGATGTTCAAGGCTGACCTTGAATTTGAAAATCCATCTCCATAGAGGACTGTTCAGAATCAAAAAAGCTCTCATGAATCTGAAATGAATGGATTTTCTCAAGGACCCATTACACTTCGCCTGTGGTCACAGAGTACAATTCAGTCAAAGCAGAAGTACAAACCTGTGAATTTCTCCTCTGTGCAGGAATTTAAGTGCAGTTCAGGTTCTGTCTTGTTTCTGTACAAGCATAAACCCTAAGAAGAGAATTAAGCATGCAAAATAAGAGGCAGAAAGAAGGCTGTTGCCCAAAGAAAGCATAAGTCTGTGTGTGTCAAGTCAAAATGAGAAGCAGATGATCCCCTGTATGGTTTCTCAAAAATAATGTAGTGACAGACTTGGGCTGTTTCCAACAAATTCTGTAGCCCTCTATGATTAGGAAGAAAATTGCAAATAAGGGATAGGTAAATCCAGAGGCTATCTTGTGCGAAGGGGAAGGAGGAAGTGCATTGAAAATGAGCTGATTGACAAAATGCGTTGCTGGGGGAGTGAGGTGTACAGCCAAAGGTAGCAGTTGAAGCGATGCCCCATGCAACATGGTTTAGTGCTCGTAAGTACAGCTTCCAAAAGACAGAGGCTACATTACAAACACAGAAGTAGTATTCTCATTAACAGCCAATCCCCTATGGAGGTGGAGGTGGAAATGAGCTAAATCACCATTCCAGCTTTTAGGAAGCAGGACACCGTTTTTCAAACCTTTCAGCACAGCTGCACCAAGTACAGTGATGGAGAAAAGTTCTCTCAAAAGTCAAAGCAAATTTCTTTAAATAGTCACCAAAATAATGAGAAATACCTGCCCCTCGATGTCACAAACTGTAACTGGGACAGCCAGTTATCTGGTGACGTACTTTTGCAGCTCCAGTGCAGTAGACTCCCTTGCCTGGACAGAGGATTGCTAAACCGCACGCTGCACGGTACAGCCACCACACTGGTGGTGGGCTACTGGAGCTAGTGCCATTCTGCGCAGGACCAACTCCCCTCCCACCCCTCGGTTCCCCCCACACCAAACTTCAGACTAAGGTTTTTTTTGAGGAGCATGTTTGGAGGAGACACTTCACAACCTGGGTAGCTGCAAGCAGTGTATGCAGTTGCATGTGTGCCAATGAAAAGTATTCCTTTCTAATACAGGGAACTCAAAAATTAAGTGGGAAACTGCACCTGAATCATGTAGAAACTAGAAATGATGTGGTTATGTCTGGTATGTCGAACATAGATGGGCAAGAATTCTCTCAGAATAATCCAAAAATGGATTCCCTGTATGCCATACAGGCGCCCCAGGCATAATTTGAGCATCGTGAGCACAGTGATAAAGGGATCAACGAAGTGTATGCGCATTCTAGGATAAAAACTGAAAAGTTCCATTTTGGAAGGGTCCAAACTGAACTCTTAAAACATTTATTTTACATAAATGAAATATGAAAATACTATGAATTTATTTGTATATAACAATAACACTTTAATATTTAGTCAAGGAACCATGAAATCTAAAAACTCACTACTTACATTAATAACTCACCCATTACAACTCAGCACTTTAAAGATAAGAAGACAAATTCTCTGAGGGAAACACGTGTATGATTACGGTGTGGCTCGTAGGTGAGTGGAAGCAAACGAGGATATAGATCGGACTTGTGCCTCGGGCTCTCGCTATCTCTAGGGCGCGAGACTTCAGGAGTGTCAGGCATGTAACAAAAGCATTAGGTGTTTGAATTCAACTCCATTACTGTCTGCGGCCGGGAGCTAAAACATGTTCGCTTTACAGTAAGGATCAGTTGAACTGGCCCATTCGTTACGCTGGAAGATTATTAACACCTGCATTTAGGCATATCATCCTGCTGTTTAACTAGCACCAGATGAGTCAGACTCGATTACAAACTTTTTTGTCATGAGCCACAAACACATTTAAGAACCACTTCAGTGCTACAAGGTATTTCAAGTTAATGTTTAGCACAACCTAGTTATTCCACAGTAACAATATTCTCACTAGTGACATCACAACAGCAAAACAAAGGCTAAAGTTTGACTCAAATTTTAAAATTTTAAATAGCTTTTTTAATGGCCACACCTTACTAAAATACTTAAGCTGAATGTTGCCCATGCCTACGTTTATACATGTTAGAGTTGTTAATATAAGCAATAAAGAACCTCAAAAAAATACAAAAGGGCATTACTGAATCATTTAAAAAAATACTTATTTATACTTAAAAGTTTTGTCAAAAACTATTGTGATCTTTTATAGCTGCAGATAATGAAAATAAGAATTATTCTGCAATTTTACAGTACTGAAGTGGAAGATCAAAAATAATAATTTCATTCTTATTTACCTAGACTGTGGAAGTGTCTGTATTTTCTTAAAAAGTACAATATGGCTAGGGTTAATTTTAAAAGCTTGACAATATCCCTTTGTTAGGTAAGCTACCGCAGCAAGTTTCCATGGACAGAACCTGTACTCAAAGGGAGAAAGCTGTAAGAATAAAAAAAAATCAATAATCATTATAGTTATGTATGTAAAAATCTATAGCCATACAGTGAAAAAATACTACAAAGCTATGTCAACACAAAGGAATAGAACTCTGTCACTGTATCAATTACTGCACCGCAGCACTTTTTAAAAAAAAAAACAAACAAAACAACCAACAAAAAACTTTTTTTTTTCCCCCCAATGCAGACAAATCCTTATCTTGGTATGTGCTGTTGCCAATAATGTGGTCCATGTTGGTAAAACTGCGACTGCTGCTCAGAGACCGAGCACTGCACCGATTACAGCTGCAACCTCGGGCTTTCTGCTTCATGCTGCTGAAAATCATCAGCCCGTGCCATGCACAGCTAACAGGAATTTGTTTCCCGAAAATGAGCACTATTGTCTTTCACAGCAAGCAATCTGAATGTTTATGATAGGCAAAACAAAACTAGGTATCACTTTGGGTGGTACAGAAGGGGAAAATTCATCTCTTAACTAGTGAAACTGTTATTCAATTTATTCAATAATCTGTAATTAATAAGTGTATATTATAGCCAACAGATTCCATCAAGGAGCATGTATGCCTCTTGGCATATCACACAATATAGTAATGGTCCAAATCCTCTCAACTAAAACAACTTTAGACTTCAGGTTTCTATTGTTTAATTGTAATTTCTTTATGATAATTTTATTCCAATAAATACCAAGTAATTTGACATTTTTAAAAAAAAAAGCTCCTTTGCTATTTGGAAAGCCACTTGACCAAGAAGTAAATTGTTTATGAACAAGGAGATATTTGTTTTACCTACTAAAAATAAGATGCTTTAATATAAACAGCATTGGAAATGGCTAACAGACAACTTCATTTTAGACTGCATCTGCATGAAATTCTTGGGTTTATCATTTGGGAGTTTCCTTGTGAAGTATTTTCAACTCTTTCTAGTAGTAACATGTGACATGTCATACAACCCCTCTATTCTCAAAGTATGAATTTCTCACTATAAAACTGCTCCTGGCCCTGAGAAATACAGTATTTCATTGTTTGCTACAAAAATGTCCTGCTTCCAGAGCTGCAGGGGTGACTTCTGCTTTTCCTGCTTCTCCCTACTTTAACAATACCTATCTTAGCCCAAGAGGTGGCTTTTTGTACAGTGAAGAAAACACCATTAACAGTGAAAACAAAAAGGTGCTAAAATATTTCTGTTCAGAAAAATTCCAGTGGTGAAACAGCAAAAAGGCATTTCCCATAGGAACAACTACTAACTAGATTCTGAGGAGTTATTAATCAATTCAGTTTAATTTTTTTTTTGTACATGAGAATATTTTGGAATACTGTTACTATTCCTCACAAATTGAATCACGTATTAGAATTCTGCAAGCTAGTTTCATAAAAACAGCGTCCTATCATAAATTAAATTTGTAAAAGAAAAGAAACATAATAGAAAGGTTTACTTATTGAGGAACACCTGTTTTAGATAAATACATTTGAAAACACAGCAGGGTTTAATACTCCCCTAAGAAGTTTAGCTGTTTTATATTTTTTCTGTTTGCAAATCTGATTTTATAACTCTCTAGGAAGACGAACTGCTTATGAAAGACTGTGGCAAGGTAGCTGAAGCAAATGCTTCTGAAAGCTTTCAATAGCATTCTTTCAATTTACAAAATGTGAAAACATCTTTCAATTAGTAAAAAAAATAGTCTAATATACAAACACTTTTTTAAAAAATTCATTTGTGAAGGAATGTAGCGTAATTACCCAGACTCATACCCATTCACTCCTCAGATACCAGTAGCTATCTCCTCTTGACACAAACCTCTCTACATTAACCCAGAGAAATGCATACATAACCAGTTAGCCCAAGCAGAATAGTCATTCATCTTTCCCCAGACTTAAGCTATCATAAATTACCATTTGGACAGCATTAGAAAGAAATTGAAGCATACAAGGAATAAACTATAGTTTCTTTTTATATCAAAATGTACTCTTGAAAATGTGTTTGGCACAGTGCTAAATCATATAGTTAATACTAAATATTGCAGGATACAATAAAACCCTGGAGTTAACTTGTGTTTACACCCTTTAAGGGATAAAAATAAAAAGATACCAATTATTCAGAAGTCAGCCTATACAAACTGTATAAACAATATTTTATGTCTTGTTTTGAAAACCACTGATATAGTAAATTTTACATAAAAGACTGCAAAATAATATAAATGGATTTAAACAGATCTTTACAATAAGAAATTCAAATGGAAACAGACAAGTAACAAAGAGAAGTAAAAAAATTTATTGCAGTATTCGTTCCACCAGATTTGCTGGGGATCCCTTTTCTTGTATTATTTCAGGGTGACCTAATACATCAAAATCTACATTTACAAAAACTCCTCCTGCAGATAGGTCATAGATACTGCATGCTTTTTTTTTTTTCCTTTTTTTTGCTTTTTTTTTTCTTCAACAGAATAAATTATATATCCAGGAGATTCTGCCATTTTACAGCCTGGAAAAACAATGCTTCCCTGGAAACTGGGCTAAGCTAAAGAAAGCCATCCGCTGCTAGGTTAAACTCCAAGAACACTTTATTAAGAACATTAACAGACTAATTTCCAACATTCACTTGTTTATTTTTTTTTAAACAGAAAGTTTTTTTTTTCAAGATATAAACAATTTTTTTGTTAAACTATAATACAGTGGGAGTAAAAATGAACTGAGAAGTTTCTGCTGCACAACAGCGAAGGAAGCTCCCACAAAAATGTTTACCAAACATTTCCTTCTTTTTTCCCGCGTCCCAGGTTCCATTCTTACTCTTCATTTAACTGATTTTTTTTTTTTTTTGCCAGAAAGTTGGTATTTCAAGTTTTTCTGTTATTTCAATTCCTGTAAATTTGGCTGCATGTACAAATTCATTAGCTGGAAGTTCCATCCTTGGCGGCATACAGCGATCGTAAAGTCTGCACAACTTTATTAGTCAGCTTATTAGCACTCGTTAGAGCAATTTTTTTGTAAATAATGTCTGACTCTTTAATAGTGTCTACCCAAGGCACCAGTTTGCGGCCATCACGGCGCTTAGCCTCAGTCCAGGAGCCACTGTAGGAGCCTGCCATCCACTGAACACTGAAGCCATTGCTGGTTTTCTGTACTACTCTTGCAATTTGTGGTCGGTCTTTGTACTTTGGACAGCAAATAGCGATGACATCCATGACATCAACACTTTCATTCATCTGTGCTGCCAACTCCGTAGAGTCTGAATTTCGTTTTGACCTTCTCAATGACTAAAACATTGGGGGGAAAAAAGACCAAGTGTTACACAAAAGAACTTTAGTGAAATTATTGCTTTTATTGCTTTTAATCCCTTGACGCCGGGAGTTGGGATTTCCCGGCACACATTCCATTGCCGGCAATGAGACGCACCGCGACCGCCAGCGCCAAGGGGTTAACATATCCTTGTAAAACCACATACTCTTAATTTGTACCCGTGTCTTTATCTCTTATTGATATATAAAATTATATATACACATGAATCATAAAGCTACATAAAAACTTGGCAACAATAAAAAGGATAACACACAGTACATTCCAAAGTAAAATTAATAACTTTTTATACGGGATAAATCTCATTTTCTAGTTTTTTTTTTTTATTGTCTTTTCTGTTAAACTTTCTACAAAAGTTGTATAAACGGTTAAGTAGAGAATCTCTATCTACAAAATGCTTTCTTTCATGTGGATTACATTACTTGGTGTACATTTAATATAATAGACTGACATTTATAAGCACATAAAAATCATTTTACGTAATACGCTGCGAAATACGTTGACTCCTCCTCCGCCTCACCCCTGAAGTGCCTCCTCCTCTATCCTCCCCATCACTTTCATCGTCCTCTGTCTCAGCTGCATTGTTTTTAGGGCTGCCTCCTCCAAGCAGCGAGGTAATTGCTTTGTTCCGAGCATTTGTGCTAGCTGACACCTCTCCATCTTCTTCCTCTTCATCAGGATCCAAATGTTCCATAAGGAGCTTGAACTATCAAAAAACCAGATTAGTCTACATTGTAACTTTAAAAATATACATATATATCACATTACATGAAATAAAAAAAACAAATAGCAAGGTAAAGAAACAGGATAAAACAAATGACAGTCAACTTCAAACCTGAACAGCTTAATGTTTTGATCTACAAATTTTTTACTTTCCTCATTTTTTAGTAGATAGTAAAAGCTTTCTTTCCTGTGTTTCCAAAATTGCAAGTTTTCTCTAACTGATATTTAAAGATTGGGAAGTAAATACACTAGGATCTAGTCTCTTCTTCTGTGATGGAAACAGTCAGGGATAAAGTGAACAGGTTATATGGGAGAGGTATACAAGATGGATACAGAAATTAGAAAATACTCCATAAAGATGAATATCCTTTAGTTGAAATTAATCTTTGTTGTGTTTAAATTTACTCGACGTCTTTGAAACATAGCCCTGCTAAACATCCTGAAATGAAGTGGGGAGTTATCAGTATATCACATAAGACTACCAGGAACTTAACATTTTGAAATGTTCATCAGCATCTACTTTCAAGTTTATGCTGTGTTAGCTAGTTTGAAAGGATTTCACGTTCTCTGCAAAGCAACTTTACTTACATCTAAGTACTGTTTTACTATACTCCTCTTCACTTCTTCAGTGATCTTGGAATTAGCCATATCACTCCGCAGAAAATCCAGAGTTTGTTTTGGATGGAAATGCACTCCTGTCTTCCTGTTTATAGCTTTATCATAAACTTTTGCAGATTCAGATGGAGAGTATTTCTGAATTTTACTATTTAAAGAAAACAAAAGGGAAGAGCTTTTAATGAAAGTCCAAAGTAATTTCAACGAAAAGCTTTTAAAATCTTCAATACATTTTAATCATTCCATATACAATAGACATCCTGGTAAGAAATGAAATCATTGCTTTTTCTAAGCCAAAGTTTCATTACATTCAACTTAGCACATTTATGTTTTTTCTCTTACACAAATCCATTGCTAAACAATTAGTTACAATCAACTTTAAAAAAAAAAAACCTGCCAAACTTAATCCTTACAAAGAACTCACTAGATAACAAGATGGCCTATTATCTAAATATCCTTACCTATCAGAGAATCCACAGAGGTTCTTTAAATGCTGTTTCAGCATCAAAAGTAATAATATGCCTTGGGAGACATTTGCAAATTCAATTAAAGGAGCTGAATTCTCCGGTAAACATTTCATCACAGCATTTATATCATTTTCTTCATCAGAATCTGAATCAGAGTCTACTCGTTTCCGTAACCTCCGAGGCTTAGAAGCTTCCTCCTCACTTTCGCTCTCACTACCACTGTTACTGTCACTCTCAGTTTCCTCATCTGATGAAGGTTTTCTTTCCTTTTTTTTGTCTTTCACCATAGACTGTAAGACAGAGAAGTTAACACACATTCCAAAATTAGAGTAGGTAGCATCATATATGTTTCTAAAAATCTTTCCAAAATCATTACTGGCTTAAATTAGCAAGAATTCCCTGAACAATGTTACTAATTTATAACTTGATATTGAAAATTAAAATTATTTATGGCAAAAAGAGGCTGAAAAATTGGTCCAAAGCCCACATTTTTTTGCAAGGTGGGTACAGAAGGAACTGAAGCAACAAGTAGTCCATTGGCATGTTATTCTCAAAAGACTGCTCAAGTTTGTTAGCTATGACAGTAAAAAGCAGTAGAATGCCAAATACAATAAATTAGGAAGAAAAATCCACTTTTCTTTCACCTGAATATCATTTCTGTGTGCCACGTAGATTTCAAGATGTACTTTGGCACAGACTAGTCCAAACTGGTTTTAATCCTTGTCTCTTAGAATTCTATGACACTAATTACACTGCTGACCAGAGAAACCCTCCAGTAATCATACACAGTATTGATAATAATCAGTTGTACTACTTGCAGACCTACAGAATTTTTACAGGTGCATTATTATTGCACAGAGTATGAATTTTCTTAACACAGAACTTAAGATGTCCTAAGCAAGATCTTGTCCTTTCTGCGCTGGATGCTACACACTGGTCCCCAACCTGAAGAATTTACTGTCTCTTTCTAGCAGATTTAAAATCGACTTCAGTAGGGTGAGAATTCAAAGCAGTGTACTATCCAGATGCACTCTGACTTGTACTTACTAGTCAGATTGGACACTGTAGAAACAATTTTGCTTCCTGACAGTTGCTGCTTCTACTGTTAAAGTTGTCCAGGAAATGAGGCTGTAAGAAGCAGCGGCCTTTTTCTTACAGAGTCGTGTATTGCCATAAGAACAGATACTATACCATGATTCAGGTTCTTATATACTACCTTAAGAAAAGACATATTGTGCACTCTATTCTTGCAACAAACAATGTATTTAAAGTCTCTCAGGCAACACACATGCAATGCTATCAGCTACATGACAACAAAATGAACAGCCAACTGGATTTCATTATTGAAATTATACGAACGACCACAATAAACTAGTATTTCATGATGATTCTAGGTTCTCGTGCTTCCAGATAACATGCCATTAATTATTACTCAGCCATATCAAGGAATGATACAGATTTGATGTTAACATCTCAACATTCATCATTCTTTTTTAATAATTTAAGCAGCAATGTAAGGAAAGTTTTTAACTATTGTCTACCAGATGCAGGCCAGAGAGTTGCTTGTTTTTGAGCTACTGATTACAAAGTAATGCTACTGGTCCATATCATAAAAATGGTACTGTATGCAGTGAAACATCAACAAATTATAGAGAAGCTTATGTTGCCACCATAATAAATATACTAAAATGTAAATGCACATACCTCTTTAAATGACTGTAGTAGGTTGCTACCAGAAACTGATAGCGTAATGTCTATATGATGCATTATAAACAGTGGCTCTTCCTGCGTTTGGTAAGGAAAACAGGCTAGATTGTCTGCTATGTACAAGAGCATATTCACCTCTGTTTTCTGGAAGTTAAAAAAAAAAGCGCATATAAACACCCATACAAATATCTTAGATTTATACACTTATCCTGTGCTCCTAACAGTCCACAGCAAAAACATGATTGCAAATTTTATTCTATGTACCCCTCCAAACCCACTCTAAACAACATGTATATATGCAAAATTTAATCATACCTGAAGATACATTATTTCTGATCAGTCCAAACTGGGTATAGAAAGGTAAAGAATGATGCAGAAGTAACAAATGCATTCTATTGTATAGGTAATATTATACAGGCAAATACCTTGTATTACTAAGCAAAACAAAGTACATTAAAGAAATAAAGTTGTCAATAATTATGTTATAAAAATACATTGTAAAAGGAGAAATAAAGCTTGTAGTACTCTATTTTCATTTCTTTTTAAGTGAAGGAAATGTGATACTTACTGCAGTATCATCAAAAAGGTTGAGTAAAGAAATTAGAAACGCTCGTCTGTGTTGACGGTTGCCTCGGATCATGGAGTATAGGTGTGAACACAATGCACTGGATGATTCATCGTGTCTAAAGCCTCTTACAGGATCTTTTGGGCAGGTATTAATCGCCTGTTGTACCTGGTAAGACATCTTCATACCAGCCACTGCTTTCATCTGAAATGGAAATGTATTTATTTTTATTTAAACCATGGCTTTCAAAGCAGTAAAACTTACTGCCTTTAAGTGGATGCTCATCTGAAGTTTAAAACACGCACTGAGGCGATACTGCCTTTTGAGTTGGCAAACATTAAAACAGAACTTGTGTCGGAGATCAGAACGTGGTGTGAACTGTTTTCATTGCAAATTTTGTTAGAAATATACAGCTAATCTGTTTACCCACTACAGCCAGGTATTCCAATTTAAACAATTTTCAAAAATACTTAAATGTTCTCATACATGAACAGAATATTTTACCAAATGTGTATGCTTGATGTCACTTTAGTGAAACCAACAACTGAGTCCATACTAGTACAATAGGCCTAACAGGCCTAAAAATGAGATGGGGTTTGCATATATCCTGTGCTTTCCAGCTGATTTTACTTATTTCAAGGCTCCTGCACTAGTTTCAGAACAAACTGAATCTCTAGTTAGGCTGCATATCCAACTCTCCTCATATTATCTTGGCTGCTGTTCAGCAAAGCTGTCTCTTCATCTCTACATTGTCTTAAGTCCCAGCTGCTCACATAGCAGATTTCATCTGCTAGTCTTCACCTACTGGATCAGGTATCTGTCTGGATGCCATCAACAGTGCAATGCTCCAGGTGCAGTGGAATACAAGCAGATATGAGAAGCCCAACAATGTAGTACACACACTGAACATAGACTGGGGCCTCCTGAAATAAGTAGAGGGTGCTGCAGCGCAGTTTCAGATCTTAGGCAGAATTATTTGCACTATGCCACAACTCTACAAGTCCTCAGTTAGCCCTCAGATTTTCCTTTCAGCAAGATCTCTCAGATCTATACAGCTTCCTATGATCCTTCTACTTAGATTACAATTTATAAAGCCTTGATGCCTTAACGTTCTAATACGTATACTCTAAGGGCTTCCAGTTTTACAAAGTGTTCTCTTCCCTATTCCAGTGATACTGAAAAATCATTGCTAAATATTATGAAACAGGTGACCCTACCTCTTATCAAATAAATGCTCTTAAGTACTAATCAGTGATGAAAATATTACTGTGAACTATAAATTGAATGAAATTTTGAACTGGAAGAGACACTTCAAATCATTATATACTTTCTATTTCTAAGAACAGATATCTCCAAAGAGGGAAAAATATCAAGATTATCTTTACAACTGCTTACAGTCATTTGTTACTTCATATTCTTTTTCTGCAGCCAAGGCATATTCAGGTGTTAAACCACTAAAGAACATAACAGTATTTTGTAAAATGTTAAATTAGAATTACTTACGTGAATGAACCCAGCATATTTTTTGTCTATTTCCACCAACTGCTGGTCAGCTTTATTTCGCATAGAGGGCTCTGGATCTGTGCCCATAGCAATTAAGTATGGCACACACTTGAAAAACAAACAAAATTATTATTCAGAGTCATTGTACCTCCTCTTTCTCAGCCTTTGTTCCTCTACTACACGATTGTTCTTGTTACATTCAGACTACTGCAGAAACTAGAATAGGAAGCTCTATGCAAGTTACTACCTGGCTACTTTTTGCAAGCAAATAGTACAAAACACATGACACACCAGCATTACAAATGAGGTTTCAGGTAGTGTTTCCTTTCCTCTCAAACTCTGAAGTCAATTTACACTACAAAAAATGTCATTAAAAAAACCAACTACAACTTATGACTGAACATGCACAATCGCAGCAGTATAAAAAACAATTACAAAAGCATTATGTGAGCAAAGAATAATGGAGATGATGACTGAAGTTCTGACATTGATTGTGGAATTCCATAGTGTTTGGAGAACATGGGGATTGAGGTAGAGTCAAGCTGACACATTTTCCAGGATAAAGAATCAAATGAAAAAAACAGCTTGGCACACATCTGAAATTTATAACAGAAATGTGCTCCAATGTACATGTGTACATGCTGTAGGCACTGGCTGGGTTTTTACATCTTGATACAAAATAGGAAAGTCAGCATTTGGAATCTCACTGGCTAAACAACATATAACAGATTTTAAAATATGGTTTCTGTAAAGGCTCCTTGCTACAATAGGAAATTACTGCAACATAGCTGGAAGAGAAAAACTGGACATTATGTAGCAAGTGTGAAAACCTCTGAAGACCAGAATAAAAAAAAATCCCTTCAGAAAAGTGTACCATACCTGAACAGGATGTATGAGACCCTGGTTTAACGTCAGTGCAATGACATTTAAAGCAAAGTGGCGTACACTGGACTGGGTATGAAAGAAAGCCTCAAGGACCTGTTTGAGATATAGTTGCATGATGGAACTACTCATCCCTGAGGAAATATCACCCATTTCTTTCAGGTCTTCCTGTTTTGCTACTTTTTTCCCTGTAAAAAGGACAAAAGCAATAGCACACTCACCACAGTATAATAATTTACTTTGCCTTTACTTGATACGTGCTGATCTTTAAGCTTTACAATAGATACACATTTCAGCTGTCTTAAAACGGGTTTAAGATCTCATGAAATGTAGAACAGTGATGGTAAATACGCATCAAAAAACTAAAGACACATGACTTTAATTGAAGTCTTGTTCTTTAACAAAGATTTTGAAATTTTCAAAATTTCTTATGTTGTATTTACTATTTTCTACCTGCGAATTAACCTTAAAGGAGATTTTGATAAAAAGTGTTACTACCATCATCACAGCAATTATGCATTCTGGATTGCTTTCAGGATTTATACATCTTGAAAGTAAACAATACACCTATGCACATAATCAATTTTTGAAAATTATTCTAAGATAGTTTGGGTACAATATCACTGATCTTACAACAATCTTAAGTGACTCAGATCACATATATACAAATTGTATGCAAGAAAGCTAGGTTTTGCATGCCTCATTAGCATGACGAACTCAACACTTACAGTCTCTGTCTGCCTGCTGCATACGTGTATCCTCCTCCTGCAAGTAGGTCTGGAGGTTTTTTAACACCTGGATTTTTAAGTTTACAGAACAGTTCTTATCTGAAAGAATGCTGTTGTACAGAGTCTTCACTTCCTGTTCAAACATTAAACTTGGGTGTTGTATAAATGCAAATCCTAAGGGTGGAAAAAAAAAAGAGGAAATACTCCACATTACCATGTAGAAATTGTTTTTCTGCTTTTTAAGTCTTTCTTCAAAATAGAGGCATGAAATTTATCTCCTCCCAACAGCATAGCTTGTTCTAGTCCAAACAGTATTGCATTTCTATATGGGCATCATCCATAGCTTATAAGGTGTTTTGTTAGCCATGAAAGTTCTATTAGTCATGGCTCTATTTGATGGATAAAGATGGGGTGTTGACCCAGGCGAGATGCACTAAAAAGAGTTATACAGGTCTGGAAGCATGTCCAATGTAGTGGCCTGCATTTGATGACTAGGAGCTCTCCCAAGAATAAGGAAGGACATTACTAAAAATTACCCGTTGATTTTCTAATACATTTGGAGAAAAACATTCTGCTGAAACCATGAAGAGTGATAAATTGATAAATATCACAAGTATTAAAAAAAAAAAAAATGAAAAGAAAAAAAAACCAAACACAACCCAACAGTGAACACAGTAAAATTTATACCTCTCACTGTCATTATTCATATACCTATTAAGGTCTTCTCTTGCAAACTATCTGAAGCATTGCCAAGACTACATCTGTTGGAAGATATACACTAAATAACTGGTTTTAGCTGTAGCCTTACCCTTGTCAAGGAACTGCTTGTTCTTAGTCCATATTTCATAAAAACCATTCCAAATTAGTGACAGTATATACCATTTCAGATCAAGTATGTAGACTTAGAAGTGCTGCTGACAAACTCTTACAGGGTATCATAAAAAAAAACCAGTAATGGGAACATAACATCCCAGTTTAACTTAACTACTTGATTATTTTTTTTTAAAGTCTGTTCAAGAAAAGCAGACATTAAATGTATTTTTTTGACCACAGGAAACTAAGTTTCTGAATGAACACACAGAAAATAGATGAACATAAAAGAAGAATGGGGGGAAAAAATGAAAGCAAATAAAATTATGCAAAAGCAATGTATGAAAATAGCTGTAACAAAGGGAAGATGGAGTGAAGTTTTAAAAACTGGCTCCATACACACAGAAAAGACAGTGTAGGTAAAGACTAGGTCCAGAGCAAGACCTCAGTGTGTTTAAGATCTCATTTCAGTCTCAAAATAAGAAGAGAAGCAGGTGAGGTGGAAG